AGTAAGTGTTTTCATGATTTGCTCTGAGGATTATCTCACTCGGTTTTTGGTTGTAAAATGTGTAATGGAAGACAGTTTTATACAAGTTACTCTCCTTTACCAGTGATCGTTGCCTGTGATTTTTCCCAGTTTATTCCAATATTGCCAAACTCCAGACACATTTCTCGCATTCCTCCACTTGGAAATGTGGATCAGTGACTTTAAGAATGGCAGTTAACCCTACAAGTTCTATTAAGCCTCCATTCTCTTTGGAGGGAGATATTTAGTAACACCCTTCGCCTCTCTAGTAACCCCCTTCCTCCTCCCCCCTCGCTCAATTATTACAAAACTTTACTTGCAAATGTGAGATTGTCCTTTACTTTAAAAACATTCCATTTGCTACGTGTTTCAGTGTTTTCACACGGCGTCACAACAGCCAACTTGGACTGGGTCACGTCGAAGAAAACTGACCAATGGCGATATGTTTTGTGAACATTTGTAATCAGTTTTAATAAACAGTTTGTCACTGAAGGCTGTTGTGTTTGTAATAATAATAACTAGGGTAATAATAACTAGGGTATGTAAAAGATAGTAATGCTGCGGCACATTCTGTTGACAGTGACATATTTAACGCCGTGATTCATCTATCTGCGCGTTTCAAGACTTAAATTAACTGTTATGTCTCAAAGTAGTGTCAAATCGTGGTGTCACTTAAAATCTGTCCTTGTATGGATCAACTTCATGCATGATGACGCATCGATGGCGAGGTGTGACAAAGGATCGTGAGACAAAAAAGCACGTGATCTGAAGTATGTTTGGACATAAAACGATACACATCAGCCTCCCCTTTACTAGATCGCGAAAATCGAAAGATGTGGAAATTGTAGGAGCAGAAATCTAACTTATAAATTCTGTACTGGTACGCATTAAATATCTCTAGAACTTGACAGACTGTGTCGAGAACGTGTTCATCGCGATGTGTGAAAATGTTCAAGCTGTAGCTTAAATTCATGTTTCGATGAAAAGGAATAGATTGCAGCATTTATGAAATCAGCGTGTTCCACGGTT